GCCTAGGGGTAGGCAACCTTGGCTCTTTTATGACTCGTGGACTTCAACTCCCAGAATTCCTGAGCCAGCCATGCTGAGGGGAAATGAGAGGTTTCCAAGCTGAGCCAGGCTGGCTCAGGAATTCTGGGAGTTGAAGTCCACAAGTCATAAAAGAGCCAAGGTTGCCTACCCCTGGGCTAGCCTCTTCTTAAAAATCTCCTGTGATGAAGCACCCACAACTTCTGGAGGCAACTTCTGTTCCACTGGTTAATTGTCCTCACTGCTGGAAGTTTCTCCTTAATTCCAGGTTGCTTCTCTCCTTGATTAGTTTCTATCCATTGTTTCTTGTCTTGCCTTCTGGTGCTTTGGAAAATAAATTGACCCCCCTCCTCCTTGTGGCAGCCTCTCAAATACTGGAAGACTGCTATCGTGTCCCCCCTAGTCCTTCTTTTCTCTAAAGTGGCCAAACCCAAATCCTGCAACCGTCCTTCGTCTGTTTTAGTCTCCAGGCCTTTAAGCATCTTCGTTGCTCTTCTTTGCACTTTTCCCAAAGTCTCAACCTTCTTTTTTGCTGAACATACTGTATAGAACATGTTGTAACGCCAACTTTACCTCTTGATGTTCCATCATCTGTTAACGTTGCTAGTTCTTCTGGGAATGAAGGTCTCCACCATGCCTTGTGTAATGGGTCCACCTCTAGTTGTGTTACAGGGAAATAAAGCCATACACCACTGGGCTTACTTCTGAGTAGACGTGCATAGGATTGCATAGGAAGTCTTCTTGATTAGCTTCTGATCCATGCTTTTCAAGATGAAGTGTATAGCTAAATGTCTATGGAGATTCTCTTGTCATCCAGATCATGGTTGTCCCAAAGGTGCTTCTCCAAAAGGCAACTGGACTTTGTTTTTCCTTGAAGACTTTGCCCTTCTCATCCTTCCTAAAGAATCTTCTTGTGATGAGAAGTGAAATACCTTCAACAAGAACAAAGTCCAGTTTCCTTTTGAAGAAGCACCTTTGGGACAAAATGTAGATACATTTTATGCATCCAAGCTTCACATGAAAGCTGGGACATGACCGTTGAAGTAAAGACAAGGATAGAGAAAGCCCGAACAGCATTCTTCAAAATGAAAAAGGTCTTCTGCAGTCACGACATAAGCCTAAGACTGAAAATCAGGCTTGTCAGATGCTATATTTTTTCTATCCTGCTCTATGGAGTAGAGAGTTGGTCTCTGACAGAAGGCCACCTGAAGAGACCAGAAGCATTGGAAATGTGGATTTACAGGCGGCTGTTACGTAGAAGCTGGGTTGACAAGATCAGAAATGAGGAGGGGATCAGCCGCCTGGGAAAGCCCAGGAAAATCATCAAAACAATTAAAAAATGAAAGCTAGAATATTTCAGACATGTGATGTGACACCCAGAAAAATACGGCATACTCCATTTAATCCTCCAGGGAAAGATGGAAGGCAAACGAGGTCCAGGCAGAAGAAGAACATCGTGGCTTTAAAATCTAAGGGATTGGCTTGGACAAAACTCAGCAGCACTTTTTCACACGGCTGTTGATAAAAACAGGATCGCCAACATCTGATAATGGATATGGCACAACAAGAAGAAGAAGCTTCAGTGGTTAGAAAAATGAGGCGAATAGCTTACGTAATGACCAGAGTCTCTTTATTTGTGTCAAAGATAATATCTCCTTTGAGTCAAGCTCTACTCAAGTTCATGGACATATCCTTGTGGTCTTCTTGGCCGGGATAGAAATTTGCTTTCTATCACGATGTTGGTTCCAGCTTCCCGGTAGCCTATAGCTGAGTACTGATCAGATGTGATCCAGCTTACCTTGATTAACTTAAATTGGCAAAGCTGAGCTTTCCTGGCCCAGGTTTATATTTATTGCAAGCAAATTCTAGGAAGCATACTGTCAACCTTCAAAGCGGTGGTCCTGTATCTTTTTTTGGGGGGGGACTTTTGGTTATAGGTTGACCCACCTATTCGAGGGTTTAACGTCAGAGAAGAGCACACAGTGAGCTTGACAAACACATCAATTAGGGCAAATTGTTTTCCCTCGGTGACTCTTTAACGTTTGTTCTACTGTACTCGGTTTGGGGAATATCGAATAGGGACACTCTAAAACCTGCTGGCATAAAGTCAGGTTAAACACCCCTCTTCCACCAAGGTTTCACATGTGAATTTCAACAGAAATGTCAATAGTTGCCTAATCTGATTTCATTTGGTTCCCTGTGGGGGCAAACAAATGTGCTTTGTTGACACCAGCCTATTGGCATAGCTGAACCTTCTCTCATAGGGAATGAGATGGATAAACTGGTCTTTCTGATTTGCTTCCCATGATATTTCTCGTAAAATTCTATTCTATATTCCATATTCCATATTCCATATTCTATTCTATTCTATTCTATTCTATTCTATTCTATTCTATTCTATTCTATTCTATTCTCTATTCCACTCTATATTCTATTCTATATTCTGTATTCTATATGCTATATTCTATTCTATTCTATTCTATTCTATTCTATTCTATTCTCTATTCCACTCTATATTCTATTCTATATTCTATATTCTATATTCTATATTCTATATTCTATATTCTATTCTACTCTACTCTACTCTACTCTACTCTACTCTACTCTTTTCTATTCTATTCTATTCTATTCTATTCTATTCTATTCTATTCTATTCTATTCTATAGATTTGGAAGCTGAAACCCATGTTTCTGTAAGGCTCCCAAGAGGGGCCAGGTAAAATGATGCCCATGACTTGTAGTAATCCTTGTAACCTAATTCATTAACTAACTAATCCCATTTAAGGTTCTTTTCCTGGTACTGCTGAGTGCCAGAATATCAGTGAGTAGGGGGTACCACCTTCTTCTCTATGACTGATCACCCCCAAAAAACCCAAGCAGGATTGAGCTTGGATGGAGACCACCAGAGAATCTCAGGTCAGTCGGTCGGGCTAGGAAGCGGAAGAAGCAACCCCAAAGAAGGCAATGGCAAGAGATGTCTGCCTTGTTGCCAAGAAAAATAGCATGCCAATGTTTCATGAAGTCACCAGCAGCTGAGCTGAGTTCAAGGAGACGTTATTGTTTTGCAATAGTTGAGCTCTAGGAACAGTAGTGTCCAGGGTGTTACGTTGGCAGTTAGCAGAATCCAGTAACTTTTATCTCAGTGATGAAAGCTTCAGCTGTTGCATCCTTACACAACAGCATACTGTTCGAAGTACAAAATGAGACCAGTTATTCTCTTATCCCTCGACAAGGCTGTTTCACATATTCATGGAGATCACCATTGTAGAATAACAGAGTGGGAAGGGGATCTTGGAGGTCCTCTAGTCCAAGCCCCTGCCAAAAGCAGGAGATCCTAGACCATGTCATTCAAATAGTTGTCCAATCTCTTCTTAAAAATCTCCGGTGATGGAGCACCCGCAACTTCTGGAGGCAGGTTGTTCCACTGATTAATTGTCCTCACTGTCAGGAAGTTTCTCCTTAATTCCAGGTTGCTTCTCTCCTTGATTATTTTCCATCCGTTGCTTCTTGTCCTGCCTTCAAGTGCTTTGGAGAATAGCTTGTCTCCCTCTTCTTTGGGGCAACCCCAGCGATATTGGAACCCTGCTATCATTTTTATTTTATTTTTTTTTATCATTTTTATCTTTGAACAGCTTACACCCTATTTTATAATGTAGCTTCTGTATCATCAACATTTACAGACCAAACAGTTGCAGGGGCTCAGAGGGCCCTAGACCAGATCCCCAAAGTATATATTCATGGTGATTGTGTGGCATTTAAGGAGAGATTGAAGATAGACAAACATTTTTTTTTCAAAGTTGAAAAGAGGGAAGTTAGAGCTGTGACTCTTATCACCCCTGATGGCTCTAGTCAAACAGATCATGGAGATGATGATGATGATGACGATGACAATGATGATGATGATGAATTTCCAGCAGATCACCTTCCTTTGCATCTATTAAATTACTCATTCCTTTTCTTTTCATAGATACACAACTTCCTTCACTTCACTTCACTTCCCTCCTCTCTCCTCCCCTCCCCTTCCTCTCCTCTCCTCTCCTCTCCTCTCCTCTCCTCTCCTCTTCTCTCCTCTCCTCTCCTCTACTGTACTGTACTGTACTCTAGTCTAGTCTAGTCTAGTCTAGTCTACTCTTCTCCTTCCCTCCTCTCCCACCCTTTTCCTCTCCTCTCCTTTCCTCTTCTCCTCCCCTCCCCTCCCCTCCCCTCCCCTCCACTCCACTCCACTCTACTCTACTCTACTCTACTCTACTCTACTCTACTCTACTCTTCTCCTTCCTTCCTCTCCCTCCCTTTTCCTCTCCTCTTCTCCCCTCCCCTCCTCTCCCTTCCCTCCCCTCTCCTCTTCTCTCCTCCCTCTTTTCTTTTTCCTCATCAAAACATCATCAAGGAAACACTATCTAGGTTTAGTATTCACGTAGAAAGCAGCACATATATATGCTCCAAGCCTTTTGCCAAACCCCGTTACCTTCATCTGTTGGCTTAGATCAATGCCTGAATATGGTGGGCTACTTGTTAACAGAGAGATGGCCGGAGCCACCAGCAGCAAAATCAAACACCCTTAGCAACAGTCACGTTTTAATCCTTTGAAATGGCATCAGATAAACCCAAATGCTTTGTTTCTGCACCAGCAGAAGGAAGAATCACTCATCCGAACCATCCTGTGGAAAGTGGTATATTTGAAAACTACGCCAGGGGCCTGTTTTGATACAGAGGTGTTTTTTTTTCTTTGATCCTAAAACCAGATGCGAGTGGAATATGTTGAGATTCCACCTTTACTTTCTGAATGGCAGAATTAAGCTCAGATGCCGATTTCCCTCGATTCTGAGCTGCTGTTTAAAAAAACAGCAGCTAAGTGATACAGAATGGATGATCAAAAGGTCTTCTTCACGCATTACTCTTTTTTGCAGTTTAGTGGGACAAAAAAGAGTTCCAATTTTTTTTGCGGGCTTCTCTTTCCTAATATTCAACTCTCTTCTCTTTCAGACAAAATATGTGACCAGATCAGCGATGCTGTCCTTGACGCCCACTTGAAGCAAGACCCAGATGCCAAAGTTGCTTGTGGTAAGAGGTGTCTTCTCCTCCTCCTCATCAAGACAAACATTCCACATTTAGTGGCCATCAGAACATCTGAAGGTAGCATCACAAATTGGGGGCACCCGTGGCAGAAAGGACGAGTGCTGAGTTGCTATTTCCAAACTATATCCCAGCTGGAGAATGTTTGAGGTTGACTAACACACTCTCTCACTGTAACACAACCTAATGTTTGTGTTGGAGGCAGACACGACAGACAAGCGGGTGGGTTACAGCAGAGCAGAGCAGAGCAGAGCAGTGTGGTGGCCTAGTGGTGAAGACACTCGCCTCCCACTCGAATGGTTTCAGAGTTTAATCTCAACGTAGCAGCAGATGTTTCTCTCCCAGGGCACAAAGAAAAAAAATGTCTGCTGTGAACTCTGCATAGGTGTCAGGAAAGGAATCCAGCCAGTAAATGCTCAGCTCCATCCAGTCGTCCTGACTCTACCCAGAATTAAGGGATTACGGGGATCGTAAAAAGGGAGTTATAGTATCAGCAGAGCAATCAATTTGATCGATTTATAGCAAAATGTGTGTGAGTGAGATCAGATGTTAATTTTCCCCTCCATTAAGCACTTTTGTTGTTGTTAGTTGCGAAGTCATGTCCGACCCATCGCGACCCCATGGACAACATTCCTCCAGGCCTTCCTGTCCTCTACCATCTCCTGGAGTCCATTTAAGCTCACGCCTCCTGCTTCAGTGACTCCAGCCAGAAGAAGAAGAAGAAGAAGAGGAAGAGGAAAAAGAGGAAGAGGAAGAAGAAGAAGAAGAAGAAGAAGAAGAAGAAGAAGAAGAAGAAGAAGAAGAAGAAGAAGAAGAAGAAGAAGAAGAAGAAGAAGAAGAAGAAGAAGAAGAAGAAGAAGAAGAAATAGTAATAGTAATAGTAATAGTAATAGTAGTTGTTCACTCTGCTTCAGTGACTCCATCCAGCCACCTCATTCTCTGTCGTCCCCTTCTTCTATTGCCCTCATTTTTTCCCAGCATTAGGCTCTTCTCCAGGGAGTCCTTCCTTCTCATTAGGTGGCCAAAGTACTTGAGTTTCAACTTCAGGATCTGGCCTTCTAAAGAGCAGTCGGGGTTGATCTCCTCTAGGACTGACCTCCAGACAAGGGAGCTGAGCCACTCTGAGCTGCTTCCTTGAGACAAATCCAAACACCGATAGCCTGTATTGTTTTCTCCTCCCTATACAAGCAATTTGTTTTCTTTCACTTTCAGAGACAGTCTGTAAAACGGGAATGGTTCTTCTCTGTGGAGAGATCACCTCCAGAGCTGTGGTGGACTATCAGCAGATTGTCCGAGACACAATTATGAACATCGGCTACGACGATTCGGCTAAAGGTTGGTGGAACACTCAAAGAACTCTGCTTTAAGCAGCTCATCCCCGCGAAGAAAACGAAATCTGACTCTATCTTGGTTGGCTTAGCTAGGATGCTCAAGAGACTGATGCAACTTCGGTTGAGCAACGCTCAGTTTTTTACTAGCAAGAGGTCTCCAGCTGTTTGCATAAGGAGATGAAAGCTATTTATGGGCTGGTCAAAGGTTATCTCAAGGTTGGGTCATCCCTCACACACAAACTGCTTCATCACATTCTTGCTATTTGTTCTTGACTTGACCAACTGGCTTCAGGATTTCTAGCCATTAATGACATCAAAGCTGTTTATGGAGGCTTCAGGGGGAGCTTCCGGGATCCTCCTTGTTGAAGTTGTTTCTCTATGATTTTTTTTTTAACAAAATTTTATTGAGTTTATATAGATGGGGAAAAATAGGAACAATACAGGTATGATAAAGGGAAGGGTGGATGGAAAGGGGAAGGGAATAAGGAATTAGGGTAAAATAAGGATTACAATCACATATTTCAACAAACAAGCTACCGTCCGGATCATAATAATGAGTAAATATCATATTCAACCATTTTTAGCAAAGCTTAGACTGTAACATATTAAAAACAATTAGTAAACAAATACGTTAATCTATTAAGTAAACGCTACTAATAAAATCTCAAAAAAATCCTAACAATCAAAAGTAACAAATGAAAACCAGTAAATCAGGGAAAATAATCATATCATCAAAATGTTAGTTAGACCTCGATTAAAAATCAGTCATCTATTCTAGAATATTGAATCCTTCAAGTTCTAACGTGTCTCTAACCCAGTGTTTCTCAACCTTGACAATTTTAAGGCATGTGGACTTCAACTCCCAGAATTCCACAGCCAGCATTGCTGGCTGTGGAATTCTGGGAGTTGAAGTCCACATGCCTTAAAATTGTCAAGGTTGAGAAACACTGCTCTAACCATTGATAATTTTTTTCCCAAGTTCTAAAATAAATTGAATCATCTTTTTCTTTCATTTCTAATGTTAGTCTATCCATTTCTGCACACTCTAAAATTTTAGTAATTATATAGTCTGGTCAGATGGTAAATTCTCCTTTTTCCAAAATTGGGCAAATACTATCCTTGCAGCAGTTAAAACATGCAATATCAAATAGTCATTCTCTTTACCATAATTAGGTGTTAATATTCCTAGCAAAAACAATTCCGGTTTAAATTCTGTCTGTAGTTTCATCATCTTTTCCAACCATCTATGGATCTTAGACCAATGTTTCTTAGCGATAGGGCATGTCCACCGGGCATGGTGATAAGTGCCTGGCTGTTGTTTACATTTCCAGCAGATATCCGAAACATTTTTAAACGTTTTCGCTAAGCGAACTGGTGTCATATGCCATCTATAAAACATCTTGCATAGGTTTTCGTTATATGCTACCGCTTTTGTAAGCTTCATATTTTTATCCCAGAGTTTTTGCCAGTCTTCCAAATCGATAGAAGGTCCAAAGTTCTTTGCCCATACTATCATTGTTTCTTTCTCTATGATTAATGGAATTTTACTCCCGCAGGCTTTGACTACAAGACCTGTAACGTCCTCGTGGCTTTGGAGCAACAGTCCCCCGATATCGCCCAGGGGGTTCACCTACACAGGAACGAAGAAGACGTTGGCGCTGGAGACCAGGTAAAGATCTGCCTGGTTAACCCAAAGGCATGAAATATATATTCTTTCTTGGTTGCGGATTCCGAGCTCAAAATAAGCACCTTGGGTTTGAAGTGCAGAGCGACGTTCTCAGGGATAAACTTCAGGAATGTACAAAAGCAATTATTCCAGGGGTCAAATCTCTTCCTTGTTGGCAAATCTGAGGNAGAAGAAGAAGAAGAAGAAGAAGAAGAAGAAGAAGAAGAAGAAGAAGAAGAAGAAGAAGAAGAAGAAGAAGAAGAAGAAGAAGAAGAAGAAGAAGAAGAAGAAGAAGAAGAAGAAGAAGAAGAAGAAGAAGAAGAAGAAGAAGAAGAAGAAGAAGAAGAAGAAGAAGAAGAAGAAGAAGAAGAAGAAGAAGAAATAGTAATAGTAATAGTAATAGTAGTTGTTCACTCTGCTTCAGGGACTCCATCCAGCCACCTCATTCTCTGGTGTCCCCTTCTTCTATTGCCCTCCATCTTTCCCAGCATTAGGCCCTTCTCCAGTGAGTCCTTCCTTCTCATTAGGTGGCCAAAGTACTTGAGTTTCAACTTCAGGATCTGGCCTTCTAAAGAGCAGTCGGGGTTGATCTCCTCTAGGACTGACCTCCAGACAAGGGAGCTGAGCCACTCTGAGCTGCTTCCTTGAGACAAATCCAAACACCGATAGCCTGTATTGTTTTCTCCTCCCTATACAAGCAATTTGTTTTCTTTCACTTTCAGAGACAGTTTGTAAAACGGGAATGGTTCTTCTCTGTGGAGAGATCACCTCCAGAGCTGTGGTGGACTATCAGCAGATTGTCCGAGACACAATTATGAACATCGGCTACGACGATTCGGCTAAAGGTTGGTGGAACACTCAAAGAACTCTGCTTTAAACAGCTCATCCCCACGAAGAAAACGAAATCTGACTCTATCTTGGTTGGCTTAGCTAGGATGCTCAAGAGACTGATGCAACTTCGGTTGAGCAATGCTCAGGTTTTTACTAGCAAGAGGTCTCCAGCTGTTTGCATAAGGAGATGAAAGCTATTTATGGGCTGGTCAAAGGTTATCTCAAGGTTGGGTCATCCCTCACACACAAACTGCTTCATCACATTCTTGCTATTTGTTCTTGACTTGACCAACTGGCTTCAGGATTTCTAGCCATTAATGACATCAAAGCTGTTTATGGAGGCTTCAGGGGGAGCTTCCGGGATCCTCCTTGTTGAAGTTGTTTCTCTATGATTTTTTTTTTAACAAAATTTTATTGAGTTTATATAGATGGGGAAAAATAGGAACAATACAGGTATGGTAAAGGGAAGGGTGGAAGGAAAGGGGAAGGGGAAGGGAATAAGGAATTAGGGTAAAATAAGGATGAGTGCAATCACATATTTCAACAAACAAGCTACCGTCCGGATCATAATAATGAGTAAATATCATATTCAACCATTTTTAGCAAAGCTTAGACTGTAACATATTAAAAACAATTAGTAAACAAATACGTTAATCTATTAAGTAAACACTACTAATAAAATCTCAAAAAAATCCTAACAATCAAAAGTAGCAAATGAAAATCAGTAAATCAGGAAAAATAATCATATCATCAAAATGTTAGTTAGACCTCGATTAAAAATCAGTCATCTATTCTAGAATATTGAATCCTTCAAGTTCTAATGTGTCTCTAACCCAGTGTTTCTCAACCTTGACAATTTTAAGGCATGTGGACTTCAACTCCCAGAATTCCACAGCCAGCATTTCTGGCTGTGAAATTCTGGGAGTTGAAGTCCACATGCCTTAAAATTGTCAAGGTTGAGAAACACTGCTCTAACCATTGATAAATTTTTTCCCAAGTTCTAAAATAAATTGAATCATCTTTTTCTTTCATTTCTAATGTTAGTCTATCCATTTCTGCACACTCTAAAATTTTAGTAATTATATGGTCTGGTCAGATGGTAAATTCTCCTTTTTCCAAAATTGGGCAAATACTATCCTTGCAGCAGTTAAAACATGCAATATCAAATAGTCATTCTCTTTACCATAATTAGGTGTTAATATTCCTAGCAAAAACAATTCCGGTTTAAATTCTGTCTGTAGTTTCATCATCTTTTCCAACCATCTATGGATCTTAGACCAATGTTTCTTAGCGATAGGGCATGTCCACCGGGCATGGTGATAAGTGCCTGGCTGTTGTTGACATTTCCAGCTGATATCCAAAACATTTTTAAACGTTTTCGCTAAGCGAACTGGTGTCATATGCCATCTATAAAACATCTTGCATAAGTTTTCGTTATATGCTACCGCTTTTGTAAGCTTCATATTTTTATCCCAGAGTTTTTGCCAGTCTTCCAAATCGATAGAAGGTCCAAAGTTCTTTGCCCATACTATCATTGTTTCTTTCTCTACGATTAATGGAATTTTACTCCCGCAGGCTTTGACTACAAGACCTGTAACGTCCTCGTGGCTTTGGAGCAACAGTCCCCCGATATCGCCCAGGGGGTTCACCTACACAGGAACGAAGAAGACGTGGGCGCTGGAGACCAGGTAAAGATCTGCCTGGTTAACCCAAAGGCATGAAATATATATTCTTTCTTGGTTGCGGATTCCGAGCTCAAAATAAGCACCTTGGGTTTGAAGTGCAGAGCGACGTTCTCAGGGATAAACTTCAGGAATGTACAAAAGCAATTATTCCAGGGGTCAAATCTCTTCCTTGTTGGCAAATCTGAGG